CCGGTCTAGATAGGGATCGCGGCTCACTCCCCTGGTCAAATATTGACCCTATTACGTGTTTTCTACTATCCATAAGTCGATATGCGTAGGAAAGCCTAGTTCGGTAAATACGGGCTGGTACAATACAAAGATCAATGACCCGGACAAAGTGCATGTTTAAATAGCGTGACGTCGACTTGTCTACTTTTCAACATGTCACAACAACAACTTGAACCCCGTTCAGACCTGTCTTTTAAAAACCGGTTGAAACCGCTAAATAATTAGCGGAGGAAAACCCGGCTAAACCCAGACTTACATAACCGGTTTTGTAAAAATTACAGTTAACGCGACTTTCTTGTTTGAGAATGAGTATTGTCTATTGTCCTATGCGCCGGTGACGGCATAAAAATAAGTTGAAAAACTTCAGTGTGCCATGACCATGTCTTGCCATTCAATGTTGGAATGGGAAAACTCACAGTCTTAAGTACAAAAAAACGTACTTGCCGACTACCATGTCAACCTTCAAGTTTATCTATTCTATACATGTGTACTTTTATGTCGGTTTTATTTGTTTTGTCGGCTTCGACAGTTCGTCGTGTCATCGAGGGATTATGTAACGCTAGCCTTTTGCCTTGGTCTAAATCAGTATTTTATGTTTTATAAATGACGTTATGTTTCAGTCAGCAAGTTTGAATGCCTGTTTTGCTTGTGTATAAACTCAGTGTGTGTAACCGATGTGGTTTTCAGGTTCTTTGTGGGATGCTGCAATGGGAATGACTACATATTCACACATATGAGGGTCATATGACACTGACAGGACACAGGCAGAATGTTCGACTCTGAGAGCCTCTACCAGGCTTCGGGAGGTGGCTGGAAACAACAGGTAGAAGGGACACCTTGGAAAGAACAATAGAAATTGACCAAATAGAGACCATATATAACATGACGGGGGAGTAGATCCGCTAGAAGAGTACAGTTTGGCATTGTATTCTTCTAGCGACCAACTCCCCCGGCATGTTATCTCTCCATTTGGCCAATTTCTACTCTTCTTTCCAGCCGCCTCCCGAAGCCTGGTAGCCTCGGTTTTAATACGAACTCGCACCCGAGACGGCTTTCTGCTCGCTGAGCTGAAAGAGAAATTATGTCCGAGCCGCTTCTTTCTCAGCGAGCCTCGGTCTTTATTCACAAAAGATTAACGCTTCACTGTCAGACAACTGTCTCCCGTTCTCTGCGGGAAACACTTTGAAGTTCAAACAACAAACAGCAGCATGAAGTTGACAGACGCATTGTTGTCATAAAAAAATGGATTTACATAATTTTCCAGAAGTGTGAATATGTTTTTTAAACAAATCGTTAGGCCTTCGGTGCGATTGTTGGTTTATTAATCATGGAGGTAAAATCAATTTTAAACCTCCCTGGTTAATACCCAGGAAGACAAAAAAATACTGTTTACAAATATTAGAACGATAAAACGTTCTTTCTACCCAGCTTACAATTGGTTTCTGGCTCATCTGGACTTCGCCAGGACGTTATTTTCCAGGCCCTAGTTTGTCTAGTTTAAAAACCGACCGGACGGTCCCTAATGACGACATAAAGCGGAGCATGTCATGTGACCCGGTCATATGACGGAAAGTCACCGAGACACAAAATAGTCCTTCATATATTTGTGTGTAAAAAAAGTTATTACATACCTTCATAAATTTTCAATAAGTCAAGTTTTCTATCAAAGTTTACTACCTCTGGTCTAATGCTAAAATTATGCTTTTAGGTTGGTTTGAGTTAAGTAAAATTAGGGTATTTAATTAGTCTAATATCCCTCCGCGAAGAGATATGCCCAAGGCGGATGTAATACGTCACACAGGTAACTTCAGGCAGAGTCAGGCATACACGGAACTAAAAATACAGCCAATATGGAGGCTAAAGGAGGAATGCAATGTATCAAGTACTTGCTTTTCGCATTCAACTTGGTCTTCTGGGTGAGTACTAAGTTCTTGGTTTCTTTCTTTGCCACGTTTTGGTCGTAAAATCCCGGTGACCGTGTGAGTGTAGACCTGACAGCAGGAGAAAATACCTGGCTACAAATTAGCCATGTTTAACTTCAGGAGCGCGGCCAGGTTTAGAGCTGTTCTTCACAACGGCATTTCTAACGGTACATACTAGTAGATCATGTGAGACGTGTGTAGGTGGGGTATCGACTGCGCCGCTACAGTTGGATGGTCTTGGATCATATGTCCACTGACACAAGTCTCCACTCTCCACCAGACTTCTTCGCGGGGAGAATAAATTGTAGAAATCGGCCTAAAAAGGGTATGAATTGGCCAGAGAAGGTAGCTGGCCAAAGAAGCTTCATTTCCCCTCTGGCCGGCTACCTTCTCTGGCCAATTAATACCCTTTTTAGGCCGATTTCTACTATTTATTTACCCCGCAACAGAAGTCTGGTGGAGGCTGCACTGACACTGTTACAGGACGCCTTTTCCTTAATCTTCAAGCAGATGTGGGGTGGAAGAACGTTTGCCTTTTGCAGCGTACTACTTTATCCAGAAGTCTGTTTGGATTCTTTTGAAATTATTAGAAAAAGTTATGGCAAGTTGAAATACTTTTAGTAGTTTATAATACCATCCTTTGATTACCCATGCATGGAATGGATGTTCTAATTTCTGTTAAAAAATCTGCCAGTGTTGTGCAATCTCTGCCAGGAGAAAGGAGTCAAAAACAGTGGCAAACATTTTATGAATATTATGTTGTATGTTCCTTTACAAGACAAACTTTTGGTATAAACTGCTAATTTTCACTTCTGTTGGCCCATTGATAAATATGCTAGCAGTAACTCATGTGACTTGGTCCATCACATGACAGTAGAAAAACTGGTTGTGACTTCTCCTTCTCGTTCTCCCCCCTGGGCGAAATGCTCTAGTTCCCCTGCTCATACCCCTGACAGACTGGGTGAGGGCCTGCATGGGGGGTAGTGATTACGAATTATGCAAAATTTTCGCCGTCAATTACGAATTACATTAACAGAGCTGATTACGACTTTACGATTTGCAGCTAATGTCCTATTATGAATTACATTGATTTTTGCGGAGGCTGCCTACAAATTACGAAGTCTAAAAAGGCCTGATTACGCCTTACGAAAAAGGGCAATTCGCATGCAGGCCCTCTTGAGTGTGATTGAAGAGGCACATCCCAGTTGAGTTTATTTTGGGTCTCAATTCCATTCTACTACTCTCCAAGCAGAGGTTTGGGCTTTGACTTATTTGTTAGGTTTTTTTTTATCAGGCTTTCTTTCTTGTTCTAGTATGATCTTTTTAGTACCAGTCTGAGAAGATACCAGAATAAAAATGATCTAGAAAAGCCTGATTAAAAGCCTAAAAACACACCAAATAAGCCAACATCCAAACCTCTGCTTGGAGCGTAATTCTGCACACCCTCAAGCCGTCAAGGCTAGGGACTTGAGTCTTCTGAGAAGTCTTGCAAAATAATTCTGAAGCAAATAAATGGTGTATGGGAATGAAGGATATCCTTCCAGATACAAGAAGAACAGAATTCCACTTTCCTTAACTTCTCAAGTTGTAGTAAATTTTGGGGGAAAACAGGATTCTCCGATAAAAATGATGAAAAAAATTTGCCATTTTTATGTAGTATTAAATCAGAAGTTAATCTGGGGCAAACAGACACATCACATTCATTGCGGAAGAATACGCAGAACTTAGAAATAAAATTTAAATCCGAAATCAATCTTCACCCAAAACAAACCACTTGGTACACAAGATTATACAGTATTCCTGGTACCCAGTAACACTACCACGAAAATCACATAGGTTAGGTCTTACACGTCCAAAATACCAGAACATCAGTGTACCATACTCTCCAAGCAGAGGTTTGGGTTTGGGGTTATTTTTGGCGTGTTTTTAGGCTTTTTTATCTGGGTTTCTCTTTTGCACTGGAATTTTTTTTTGGGTTGGGTGAAAAAAAATTCCATTACAAAAGAGAAACCCCGATAAAAAAGCCTAAAATTAGTAAAAACACGCCAAAAATAACCCCAAACCCAAACCTCTGTTTGGAGAGTAAGTGTACCAGGCAGTACTCTACTACCCAGTACTCTGGAAGTTTCCAACTCAGGTACAGGTACTGTGCCTGCACCGAATGTTTACAGTTCGGGTATGTAGCTGTACTCGGTATAGGACAGAACAAGGATTGTTGTTGACTGATTTTAGTTTACCTCCTTCGTTTTGGAAGCGAGTCTCGTAACACAAACAATACATAACGTTAGCAGAAAGCCGGGTATTGTTTGTGTTACATGCATTATGCACATGGGGATCCATGCGTCAGTACATACAGAATGCATGACGAAACATGTGTAAGTAAGAACCATGCAGAACACAGACTATCCATTGACACACAAAGGTGTGGCAAGGCTCTTCCATTCATACAGGTCAGGGTTTGTGGAAAACCCAGGCTAAGGCCACGCCAATTTAATTTCTTGGTTAACGGATTCGCCCGCTTCGTTTTTTTCTGATTTGCAAATAAAATAAAAATTCAGAATCAACTGCAAAATGCTCATATTTTGCCCTGAACAGTTGAAAACAGTCCTTTTCATTCAAGTTGTTACAGTTATTCCATCTTTCAATGCAATGGTATCATTAAAAGTTTAAAATTCAATGTTTAAATTTTGAACCAGCCTGGTGTGTTGACTTCATGGCTCCTATCGTACCATTTTGGGCCATAATAGGATGCCTAGGCCTGTTTTTATTTTTTTTCGCC